CACCCATGCCGGCTGGGGAATTCTGGGAGTTGAAGTCCACTCATCTTAAAGTGGCCAAGGTTGAGAAACACTGCTCTAGGATATGACCAAGCTAAGCAATAGCTCACCCAAAGAATATATGATAGCGAGTTACAAGCTAACAAGCTACTTCTACATGGCAGAAATTGGATAAACAAGGGCATTTGGGAACAAGCAAAATATTTACAGAACCTTATTTTCCCCAGACTGAGGATTGCATTCTTTAAAGCCAGACCCAATTATCTTACTACCCATATTGTGCAAGTCAGATACTCTAAAATCCCATTAATCAAGCACATCTGCCTGTTAGGTGACAAAAAGAGACAGAAACCATTTTGCATGAATTATTACATTGTAAATTTTACAGGGGTATTATATCTGTTTATATTCTGCCCCTAATAAATAAATCCCCAGGAAGGTCACATAAATCTTCTCTTAGAAGACACAAAAACTGCCATTACCTGCACAAAGGCCAAATTTTATGTTGCTGTAATGAAGATAAGACATAACCAACTCCAAAGCTAATTTTTTTTTACTTTTTTCTTATTTAAGATCTTAATATGCAGATTTGTAATTACTTTAGATAGTTTTAGGTAATTTCGACCCTGAGATCTCAAGTTGTCCATATCAGAGTTGCCCCTGTGGAAGTCTGTCCTAAACAGGAAAAAAAAAAAGGTTTGTGTATCTGCTGTGTAAAATAACAAACAAAACTTTTTTTGAAGGTCTAAATTAGACATCACTTTGGCCAACAGAATCTTCCATCCTTCAAATTCCTAACCTCAGTTTCACATCTCCCTTCTCCTACTTAAGGCACCATCTAACAAGCATTTTCCTGCAATACTAAGAGACTAAACTCAAAATTATGCATAGCTATAACAAATAATTCAGCCTCTACATCTCTCAAACTCAAATCTTCCAAAATAAATCCTACATTATTCCATGAATGTTTACATGCATCCCCAAAGTCGGGCAAAAGAGGTAATAAATTATTGAACAAACACAACTTCAGATTTTAGGTGATAGTGGCATTACAAAAATGTTACATATTTTTAAAATATATGTTATTCACTTGCTCTGTTTTCTGATGGAGAGCTACCTGGAAAATTGAAACGGTAGGTGCTTTGTTTATTTTGCTTGCATTTCATTGCTATCCATTTTCATCTTCATTCAGCCATCATGTCTTCCCTATGAGTATGTGCACCTATTGCAAGGTTTACCAATTGTTACTGTACCTAGTATATCATTACATAGTATACACCTGATACATCTCAAATGCGTAGTCACAGTAGGTGGCACTATTTAGCCAACCTTGCTAAATCTCAGAGGAGGAGGAGGAGCTTCTGCTGCTAAGCTTCTGCTCTTAACTTTGTATCCAGTTAGTTTCCTGAATATCATCAGGAAATCGCAAGATGTAAGCTGAACTAGGAAGTTGTGAGTCCGTATTGGATTAGGCAGTACATAACTGGAATAAATAATATCCCAGAGGAAGACAGTGGCAAACCACTTCTGTATTGTGCCAAGAAAACTATATGAACATAC